CGTCCTCCGCACGGCTTCGGGGGTGGGCGCGGGGCTCGCTGGGCTGAGGGGGTGAAATCTGAGGGGAGGCTTTAGGTGAGGCCGCTTAGCAAGGGCAGCTCTGTCCCCACAGCCGCCCAGCTGGCTTGTCTCGGTATTTTTTGGCAGAGCTCCCCCCTCGGGCAGGCTGCAAGGGAAGAGCCGTGGATGTAATCCGTCTGGACTACTGCAGGGCCTTTGACACGGTCCCTCACAACATTCTTCTCTCTAAGCTGGAAAGAGATGAATTTGGTGGGTGGACTGTTAGGAGGATAAGGAGAGGGGGGGAAAGAATTCCAGAGGTTATTAACAAAATGCCAGTGGCTCAATGTCTGGATGGGGCTGGGTGACAAGGGGGGTCCATGCTGGGGCCAGTGCTGTTTAATACCTTAATCAGTGCTCTAGACAGTGGGACCATGTGCACCCTCAGCAAGGCTGGAGGTGGCACCAAGCTGGGGGGTGCAGTCAGCATGGCAGAGGGACAGGATGTCATCCAGAGGGACCTGGGCAAGCTGGAGAAGTGGGTTCATGTGAACCTCATGAGGTTCAACGAGGCCAACGATCCAGAATCAGAGCAATCCTCGTTGTCAACACGGGCTGGGGATGATGTGATAGAGAACAGCCCTGAAGAAAAGGACATGGGGGTACTAGTACATGAAAAGGTGGACATGAGCCAACAGTGCATGCTCGTAGCCCAGAAGGCCAGTCACATACTGGGCTGCATCAGAAGAAGTGTGGCCAGCAGATGGAGAGAAGTGATCCTGACCCTCTGCTCTGCCCTGGGGAGACCTCACCTGGAGTCCTGTGTCCAGCTCTGGAACCCTCAGCACAGAAGAGACATGGAGCTGTTAGAAAGGGTCCAGAAGAGGGCTACAAAACTGATCCGAGGGCTGGCGCACTTCTACAAGGACAGACTGAGAGAGCTGGGGTTGTTCAGCCTGGGGAAGAGAGGAGAAGGCCCCAGGGAGACCTTATGGTGGCCTTCCAGTAGCTGGAGGGGACTGCAGGAGAGCTGGGGACTGTTTACAAGCGACAGGACGAGGGGCAATGATTCAAAATCGAGCAGCAGAGATTTAGATTAGTCGTGAGGAGAAAGTTCTTTACTATAAGGGTGGTGAAACACTGGCACAGGCTGGCCAGGGAGGGGGGGGGGGCCCCATCCCTGGGGACATTCGAGGGCCCCTGGAGATATTCAAGGTCAGGCTTGATGGGGCTTTGAGCAACCTGCTCTAGTTGGGGGTGTCCCTGATTACTGCAAGATGACCTTTTGAGGTCCCTTCCATTTCAAAGCCTTCTATGGTTCTCTGATTTTATGAGAAGTTGCACTAGGCTGCAGTGTGAGGATGTATTCGCTTTAAGCCTCAAGCAGAGTAGGCTGAAATACACTCCAGGCAACTCATCTACTCAGGCAGAGGGGGGAAAGATTAGATGAGCTAATGATTCTTTCTCAGCTCTGCTTTTCTAAAAAGTGCCAGGGGAGCTCCAGCATCGAGCCAGAGCAGATGGGACTTTAAAGTGTTAGCTGAAATCACACCGTAAACTGCAAGGCACTCAGTTTATCAACTTCCAAAGCACCACGGCTGAGTTAGCCCTGTAGCTGAAACATGTTGATTCCCCACATTCTGTTGTTCGAAGCAACGACTTTATGTTGTTTGCTTTCACCTCCTGAATGGTCTGTGTGGGGAAAGAAGGTTCAATTGTTGCTTTAAAATCGATGACTAAGAGGAGACAAGACTTAAGATGTGTAAAATAATGGACAGAGTGAGAAGAGCAGACTCTGCTTTCAGCCCTGTCAGCAAAATGTGAACAGAGACAATAAAAACTGCCAGAAGATGGGTGAAAGGCTACCTTCACCAGTGGGAAATTTGTAAACTAAATACTAATCTGTACCAAATTAGCTTATGAATTCCTTATTGAACGACAGCAATGGGACGGACAGCTTAGCAAAACCCAAGCAGCAGGAGCTTTTCTGTGCTGTTGGGAACACAACCTTGGGATACTGCTACCAGAGCCTGAAGCAGTTAGCAGTTTGGAGACAGTGTTTTCCAGAGCTGCCTTGGAATGTGTTGGAGCTGTTCATAGGAGGGAGGGAGCACAAGGACTTCCTCGGGACGGGTTCTGCAGCCCAGGGGTTGAAGGAGGACAGAGGAGAAGCTCTTTGATATAGCTGTTGCCCTTGGTAGATGTTTATGCTTTGCTGAAGACCTCTGGGGAGTGAGCGATGCTGAAGCATGTCCAAGAAATGCAGAGAACAGAAGATTTCCAGAGTCACAGCAGTTAAAAGTTTTAGAATAAACCAAAACAAACCAGAAGTTTAGTCGGGTTGTAATCTCTTGTGACGCAAGGCCCGAGCCAACCCTTGGCAGATGAGCACTGGGGGAGTTTTCCCCGCTGCAGATCTGCTGGCTGGCTGGTTGCCACCACCCCCTCTCCCTGTAGGACACTTACTCATGCAGTCCCCTCCGTACCAGCCAGCTCTGCACGCTGCACAGTACATCCCCTTGATGTAGAAGTCATCAAGGGTCCCTCCCCAGGAGCCGTTGCGGCAGGACTTGCAGTTCTCAAAAATGGTGCAGCCTGTAAGGAGAGCGACTGGGTTAGAGGCAGGCTAAGGTGGCTTGGCCCGAGGGGAGAGGCTCCCCTGCTGAGAACTGTACCCAGCCTCCACCCCCAAACCCTAGGCAGCTCAGGTTCTGAGATTTGGAGCCAAGCTCCCCGTCTGACTTGCCCAGACCTCTAAATCTCGTTGCTCTGACTGTCAATGTCTCCCTCAGGAGCCTGTGGATGACGGTGCTGCTTGGGCCCGGCCCAAGTGATTCTGATGTCTTCTAACTTCATCCTGTCTCCTCCTGCTCTCACCTGCCACTTTGTCCTTCCCTCCTTTCTAGCTGGACTTCCAAGCCATTTCTCTTCTTGCTTTGGGGATGCAAATGATCTCAGAGCACCTACAAAGCACTCCTGGTGTGAAGCCAGCTGCAGCAGTCCCCAAGCCTGGCCCAGACACCCTGAGCACCAACACTGCTGGTAGAAGGTGTTGGGCCATTTCAAGGCTACCTGCTGCGGGGGCACCGTGCCAAGTGGAGAAGGTTCCTTAGGAGGTGCAGGGCAATCCCATGCCCCAGTGAGAGGTGCCTGCCCTTGCTGCTCCCCTGCCCAGCACCATGCCTTGGCCGAAGCTGTGCTGTGGCCCTGACCGTACCTGGGTGGATGAGGCAGGAGTCGCACTCGTTGTCCTCGTTCCTGCAGCAGGGGATGGTGTAGCCCACTCTCTCCTTCCCTCCCGGGCAGGTGCACTCTATCTGGTCGTACTCACAGCACTCCCGACACATGATGTTCCACTCAGCACCCGGGCAGTTCTCGTTGATCACTGTGTACTCTGCAAGCAGGGAACAGAGAGGGGGTTGGACGGGGAGAATCCGCTCTCTGCTGAGGGTTGACAGGCTCTGTTATTCTGAGGTTTGTCAGAGCGTGTATGGCTGAAGGTCTTTGCCTCAGGAAATCCCAGCCTATGTGGTAAGGTGCAGGTGAAACACCAGCTCAGTTTGGGTGTCTAAAGAACACCCGGGTGGTTTTGCAGCGAGGCAAAGAGAGCAGAGGGAAGGAATAGTCTCCCTTCAATCCTTTCTCTGCAAGGCCTTCCCTTTTCTGTGGTGAGAAAAACTGTTTTAAAATGCAACGGAGGATGGGGCCACAGGAGAAAACCTTCTTCAGATCGCAGGACTGATTTACAGCCTCCTATACAGTCGAGATTATTTCAACTATAATAGCCAGTTTGGGTTGCATTTCTGGTTTTTTAATTTGCTGCTCTTTCCACCAGGAAAGGCCAGTTTGGAGGCTGGATTTTAGCCAGTCTCACTCCCTATTTTCACTCAGAATCACACGGTGTTACCCTCGGCTTTGCTGCCAAAGGAAACAAGATTTTTCATTAGTTTCAAAGGTTCATTTTGTCTGGCATTTCTAACATGGTAACATTATTAATATCTTTTTATTATTTAGCATAACCTCATATGATGATATTTAAGTTATGCTGGAAGTGCCCTTTTAGGAAATGACCTCAGGCTGTGACTCTGGATCCTGTCCTGCTCTCCAGCAGCACGCTGTCTGAGCTCTCCAGAGTGCAATCTAATGCCTGCGTGGTGCTGTCAGCGTGTCTCCCAGCCAGCTGACAGGGCTGGTCACTGCCTTCATGGAGTTTGATGGGAAAAAAGGAAGAGAGCAGGCTAGAAAGATGAGACAGGAAGGAAACATAATGAGACTCTCTCTTTCTTCTTCCCTCTGTCCTCCTCTTTTATTCTTTCTCTTTTTTTCTTTCTCTTTTTTTTCCCCCCATTGTGGTTAGGTAGCATTCTTTTTCCTCTTTTTTTTTTTTTAACTCCCACCCGTGCCTGTACCTGGCTTCCTCCTCAGGCTGCTGGATTTTGCTTCCTTGTGCCTCCCAACCTCATTACCCTGTTTGCTGGAGCTCCCTACCACTGAACCTTGCTGCTCTAGTCTCACTGGATTCTCCATGGCCTCATGAAGCCTGGTTCCTGGAAGCTTATCTTTTCCTCTAATTATATTTACTGGTTCCATAAAAAAAAAGGGACCACCAAACCATTTCTTCATTTTCTTTGCTTTGGCTCAGAAATGAAATTCAGCCCTTCGTGCTCCTCAGAGCTGAGCCTTTCCCTTGTGCCTGGTAGACTCACTGAGGAAAGTCCACTGCTGCTCTGACTTTGGAAACCAGGCTCCTGTTTGTGCTGAAACCTTTCTATTCCCTCTCCCTGCCCCCCAAAAAAGAAAAAGAAAGCAGCTTTTGTCATTCAATAAGGTTCTCTAAATTTTTTTCCAGTAATAAACTCCTGCATCAAAATAACCTGAGTGTTCAGCTGTTAGGCAGCCTTTTACCTGTAGATCTCAACATGCTCTACAAAATCCTTTTGCCCATGGGATACTGAAGCACAGGGGAAGTGAAGTGACTTTGTTCAAGGTTCCAGAGAAAAGCAAGAGCAGAGACAGGAATTAAACTCATGCCTTCTAATTCCCAGAACAGCAGTCGATCAGCTTGGCCAAGTTGGGACTTTTTAACCTATGGCTATGATTCTCTTTTAATGAAGCCATTTCTCTATGAACTCTATCTGATTCAGATTCCAGAGCAAACTGATTACACGTGTCTATCTTATTAGAGCTGACACTCAGCTTCATGCATCTCACCATACCTGACTGAAAATAGCTGTTTCTGTGGTGTATGGGCTGGGGGGTCTCACCCTTTGTTCAAGGACTCCCCAAAGTCTGAGTAATAAATAACTGCCCAGCTCTCTAGAGCTTTTGCTGAGGAAGCTTTCTTCCTTCTAACTCCCATGTTTCCCAGCTCGAGCTAGAAATCTAATTTCTCTCAGAATTGCTAGAGCTTATTAATAAAAACCATTCAGGTTGTAGCTGTAAATTGCCCAAGAGACATTTCTGTCTGTAGGATGATTGAGATGTTCACAGGCAAAGCTGCACTGGGGTGGCTAAGGCACGTCTCCATCCCTTCAGAAATTCAAAACCTGGTGAGATAAGGATGTGAGCAACACAAACTCCCAAATTAGCATTTTTCTGAGAGAGGGGCTGGACCTCAACTTAAATGACTGTATGATTCCATAAAATATCACTCATGTATTTGTGTGTGTGTAGAGAATATGTGTGTCCATGTGAGCATTTTTCTGAGAGAGGGGCTGGACCCCAACTTAAATGACAGCATGATTCCATAAAATATCACTCATTATTTGTATGTGTGTAGAGAATATGTGTGTGCATGTATTTCTTTTTATATGTAGAGCTTG